CAAGAGGTCAATACAAAAGTTAATATCTATAAGTTTCAATTGTTTATTATGTGTGTAGTGCAGTTTTATTTATTTTATGAGTTTATAAACTAACGCTAACACCTTAATAACGAAGTGGTAGGTTTCAGAAAAGAAGAGGGCATTAATATAACAAGTTCCTCTTATGTCATGCAATGTGTGATAAATAAAGCGTCATCGGAGGCAGAAGTACTATGTTTCATAGATTACATAATATGAAGTTAAAAATTACCGGCATGTTCTTAGATTAAATAGCAAAAAAAAGATAGGTCAAACTATTCTTTATCTCCCAGGTTTATTGGTGGGGTTGATAGTATGACCAACGTCCTTTCTACAATATTTCAATAACAAATCGTAAAATTAATTTTCTTCTAGCTTCACAGCAGACGAATATTTTCTTTAGAACGTATGAAACCTTGCTTTAGGGTGAAATTTTTACTGCTGTTTCATTAATGTACTATAGGGAGAGAGTGAGATTATTTCGTCAGCCTTTGAAGATGGATGTTTCCGGCATAACGCAAGAGTGGTCGGGGTGAGAACGGGTCGTGGTTGTCCGGATTCATGCTGTTGGAGAGAGCTTTTTCTCTGCGAGTTGAGTGGTTCTCGGTTTGGTCGGCAGGTGTATCGGCCGTCGCGCCACCGCGCGCGCGCTGGTTCGTGTCCTCGTTCTCGCCACCTCAATCATGCGCGAGTGGGCTCCGTCGCTTCCAGCAGCGTCCGCCCGGGGTAGCCCGTCTCAGCAGCGGCGCCTTCGTTCTCCGTCGTCTCGGTTCTCTCTTGCCTAGACCCTCATTCATGCCAACTTCCTCTGGCTAATCGCACCTGCTGTACACACTGCTTGTTGAGTCTAATTAAAGCCCATTTTTATTTATTCTACCGTCTTTTCTTTTTATCTCTAGATCTCAGCACTTTCCTTCATTTACAGTCCTTTAAACAATTATTATTGTTGTGTAAGTTATCATACGTCTGTCTTAATACCTTATTTCATTAAAATGGGAATATGACATTTTTTTTGAGAAGATATGATACGATTTCTGAAATGTTAAATTCAGCCACTCAATCAAAAAAATGCTTAATAGTGTTTTAACTAGTATTATTAAGTGATGTATTTTTTCAACGAGTTATTACGACAAAAGTTGAGGTGTATGTTGTATTATAGAGTGAACATGGTACGTATATTATGGGTAAAGTTAGAACATATCTAGGTTTGCGCTCTGATTTGCTAGGAGCAAAAATTGGCACTACGGAAAAAACACAAAATAATTTTTCAAAGAAGTTTTATACTGATAAAAAGAAGTAAAATCCTGCTCCATAATGCCAAGGAGTGATTCATAACATTAATGGTCTGGCGCTTCTTCTTAGAACCACGCTGTCGCGTGACGTCAGTTATGTAAGTAGTCACTCAGCATCTGAAAATTTGTTCTGTACTCTCACAGTTCAGGAACGAAAATTATATAGAATATTGTTACTTCTGTTTCTCTAATATTTAATCTCTTACATTAAAGCCCTTGACACATAGTGATTCTTGCATTGTTTTCTTTCATTTCTTCACAGCATGAAGAATAATTAATGGAAGTAAGTGTGATCTGTTAATAATGGAGAGTAGGGATCTGCAGCAAAAAACTGCTTTTGTTAAGTCTGAGTCGATACTGAGGTCCTGAAGCAGCAATGAACTACTTTCGAGTAAGTTGAATCAAGGCCTCTAGATGCCACATACTCGAATAGCAATATGCTTTCCACCAGGTATCCATCTTGATAATAACTGATATGGGAATGACTGGAAGGAGAAATATATACTGAACAAACAGAACTCAAGAAATAATACAATTACGATGTAGACATATGACATTATATAATTATTTTTATTGGAACATTTAAAACAGAACTCATTTTCGACAAAAAAAAACAACACAAATTATTTTTCTATTCACATGTACTGCTAAATATATTTTGTCAATATAGTTTAATGGTATACTCCGACGGAATGGATGAGACAGAGCTTAAAATGCTTTTGTTTGTGAAATACATTTGAGAATTAAACTTTAATAAGCTTATTTTTCAGAATTTTCAACACTTCTTGAGTAAATTCTTTATAAGTTACTCTGGGTGATGTAAATTCTACCAAAATAGAATTACAACAATTTACTGTCAACATACAGTTAAACGTGATTTTAAAAATGTAAGTTATTGTACCAATTAACGCTTGCAAAGCTCATGTTACCTGTCAATCGAACATACCTATGTAGGAAATATTGGCACTTATACCGGAGGATAATTCCATCTATAAAGTTATATAAAACTTGTATCAATATCCTTAAAATGCATACATGCCGAGCAAAAAGAAATTATATTTAAAAAAGTTAAACATTTCATATTTTCCAATAACATTATTATTATCATTGATTGTTGTGTTTATAATCGTATTTTTAATATTTCTGTATATGATACGTCTTTTTTGTCGGAATTTTATTAGAGTGGCTTAATTTTGCAGTTAAGATTAATTAGAAATTTTCATTAATTTTTGAAGTGAAACTTCTGTAGGCACTGTAGGGCAAATCGGCTTGAATAGAAGAAAAGAAAAGCACGTAGTTCTTACTGTGGACGTATTTGACGATGGTCTCGCTCCTCCATGAGCACTGGGCAAAACGCTGAATGAAGATTTTGGGGGGAACATATTTGAGGGAGCATTTTTTGGATGAAAATGACGTGACGGAATAGTTGATAGAACATCCTTAGAACTTGTGATCAATGTGTGGAGAAGCGTGTAGACCTTACTACTTTCCAATGACTGGCTCACATAGAACAGAAATTGATGACATTTGTTCAACCAAATGGCAACTGGATGATGGTCACATGACTATGATGGTGACCAACTACACGTCAATCAATACCAAATTTACTGGTATTATTAAATTAATGCATGTCTTCTTGTCTTAGGTCTAGTACCGAAGGTGCAGAATTGTTGAAAAAATATTTGTACAAAATGTCAATGATAATGATTGGTCATTGAATATTTTCTCATCTTTTAGAAAGTTTTCACTTTAATTTATTTGTATCAGACTTCTATCAGAAACAAATACTTTATTTCTCGTATTTTGAATCTGTGAAAATTATTACTATTTTTTTAATAGCCCCTCAGGTGTCTCATGGACAGATGCTATCTTTCCGTGGTTCGATTTCGGATCCGAAACCCGGTTGGGCAAAAAATTGTGTTATGGATGAGCAAAGCATTTGAAGTTGAAGTTGTCAGAAAAAATGTTTTTGATGGAGAAAATGACCTTTTACGTCATAAGATTTAATTGAAGCAATACTTCAAAGAAGAAATCTAAGCCAATGTCAGTTCAATTTCTGCATTTACTGATTTTTCACCACAAATATGTGCGTTTTTTTTTACTTTTTGGTGAAATTTCAAGTCACGATTTGAATATAACACTATATGTAATTTCTCGGCAGCAGTATTATCCACACCTCATATCCACACCACATTTATTCCAGACAATTATATTTTTCAACAATTTTTAATGATTGCACTAAAGGAAGACTTACTGTTTATAATTTCTAAAGATAAGGAAGAAACGTTTTTCTTTATATGTAGGAATCCGGGATGTTCTCTCTTATATATTTTTTCTAGAAATCCTTTACTTCTATCTTAGCCCGAAACAACCGCGGGCTATCAGCATCTAAGATGAATATACTATTTATACAAAATATAAGCCAGTTTTAATATTAACAAATTATGCAGAGAAATCATTAGAAAGTACTTAAGACTACTAGATAGAAATAGATATATGTAGTATTAATTTAAAAAGAACATCTAATCATGCATTGTGCATGAATTTCTGCAAAAAAACTACAAAAGCATGCAAACGTGCCCTAAAAAATCAAGCATTTTTAAACCGAATTTGTCCTGAAACATACATTTACAAAGTATGAAATTCCTATGAAGCTTACATAAAATCATGTATTTGCATGGAAATCCCGTCTCTTGTTATTAGTAAGTCTTTTTAACAAATAAGGACTGGAGATTTTTTTAAATGCCACAAATTATAGGCAAATTAGTAAATTATTTACAAAGTAAAATTGTAGTGACTGTTTAATAATATTGTAGTGCAAGTTAATAAATTATCAGAATTCGATTACAATTCACAGAAAATGTTTGAGCTTTCGAGAAGTTTCATAAGAAATTATTTAGAGCGCTGTATTAAAACCAACATACATTGAAGAACCTTTAAATTCCTTTTTTAAAGGTATGTAGGTTTTTATACAAAAAAGTCTATCATGTAAATATAATGTCGGGGGACATATCTAAAAAAATTTATGTGATTTTTTAAAATCATAATGTTAAACCACAGTGGCGTTAATGTTATGTTATTTCAGTCCATTTAGCTCTTCCCGAAAAATATTAAAGACAATGATGAAAATTTTTAACTTTTGAACTTTTTGAAAAACAGACATCGTCATTTTTAAGTGTACTTTTTCCAAGAAAAATCTAGATCATATCCATTATCGTACCGAATCGATGCGGATGACGCGATTCAGTTCAAAAAAACCGAGGAACGAGTATTACTCGCGCACGTTTTCTTGATTCACGAGCTCCCTAGTCTTTTTTCAGCGCTGAATAGCCGGAACGTTGATATACTTATGACTCGGAACGGCACGTACCAATTTACAATGCTGGCAACAACCACCACGTATTTTCATAAATATCAGCATTTCTCATGGCATGCTTTGGCGAATTAAGTTCATGCTCACAGTTGGTACGCCCTTTTCAGCCGTGACGTAATCAAATCCCCCCTCTCCCCGCACCCACTATGAAATTTCAAGAAAACTTATGCGTGTAGTAGTAAGTGCGAGGACATTGGCGGCGTGAATTGCAATATTTTATTTATTACATTTTAGTATTTCCTAAGTGAAAATTAGTTTTTTATATATAATTGTAACCTTGTCGCTTTTGAAAGAGTTTTTTTTGTTTGTTTTTCGAGATGAATGGGCATGAAGAATCTAAAGACCCCGCGGGCATAAAGCAAACCTATGGGCCCGTAAGGGTATTAAGTATATCATTATGTGTTTCAATTCCGGTACTTAAAAAATACAGCAATGAACCAGTAAAACATAAAAAAATATGATACACAGTATTCTGCTCAACATACAAGCTGGCGGTGACAGAAGTCTCACGTGTTTAATTCATGATACTTGGATCCACTGGAGATGGGATAAATTAAAACCCAAAACACGTGTATTGCGGTTTATTCTTTGTATTAAATTTATATTGAATTATACTTTGAAGCTGATACCTCCTCAATCCTTAATTAATATAATTGTGCACATTGGTTTAATCTAGAAATAAACGAAACCAACAATAACCTTTTTTATTGATTTTCGTTGGTTGTACATAGGTGAGTTTAAGTATCAACTTTACATATGACTGAAAGGCTTACGTACTAACTTATATTAAAAACTTACTTCTAAAACTTAAATCTATTATAAGGTTGAGGATGCCCTATTGGGTTCTCTATTCAGGTTCAAAATCGTAGAAGGTTTTTTACGGAATATTTAGTATGGACATCTGTTTTCTTTATTCTGATATGCTTAAGATTGAAGGTTGCAATGGAAGGGATCTGGGGTAAATAATAGTAAAAGTTACTGACTTGGTATCTGTTGTGAAGTTGAATTCTTTCTGAAGCTGATGAATGATGGCAAACCATGGTGCATTAGATATTATTCTGAGAAATTGGTTCTGAATGGTTTGTAATTTTTTAATTCGGTTTTTGCAGCATAAATCCGGTTGAAACAGGCATACAGCAGTAACGGTGTTAGGGAAGTTTAATGTATTGCAATTTAAGAGTGATATGGTAATGGGTGTTTCAATAGATTTGAGGTTTTAATTGCAGTAGTTTTCTTTTAGCTTGTTTTATTGTTTCATATATATGCTGTTTCCTGTTCAGTTTAGAGGTATCCGAGATATTTAATAGGTTTGTTAGGGGTGCCAGTTTTTGTATTGTTATTTATTGTTAGTCGGTAGGAGAGATGTAGGGTTTTAGTGTAAATATTTTTGCCGCGAATTTGGTTAGATTCAGTTCGATTTTAAGTTTGGATGTCCAGCTGTCGAGTACGTTGAGGTATATTTGTGTTCTAATTCTAATGACATTGAAAGAGTTGCCAGAAGAGAATATTGCTGTGTCATCAGCGAACTAGGCTAATTGTAGATGTTCATTAATTTCGGAAGATCTGTAACGTATAAGTTGAATAATGTGGGTGAAAGTGGTGAGCCTTGGGGAGTCTTGCGTTAATTAGTGTAGGGTTGGAATGGTGATTATTGACATTTACGAAAGAAGTTCTATTATTGAGAAAGCTATTGTTAATTGATTTTATGTAGTATGGGGTGCCAATTTTTTGATCTTGTACATTAAGGCTTGGGGTCATAATCTAAGAATGTTGTGTACATATGCTCCGATATTCTTAGCAACTGGTGCTGTGTGGACATTTTCTCAGTAAATCCAAACTATTTCCTATAAATTATTTTTATTATGTGTAAATGTTTAATTTTTTAGTATAATATTCTCGAGTATCTTTCATAGAGATGGTAACAAACCGATAAAACGATAACGGCCAACATTTGCTGGATTTTTATTTGATTTACAGATGGGGATAATGATAATATGTTTCCAGGTATGCGGAAAGTAATTGATTCTAAAACACGAATAATAAATGTTTGTTAGGGTAGCTAATGCTGGTGCAGGTAAATGTTTTAGTACGATATTATTGAAATTGTGGTGTCCTGGTGTTTTTTGGACTGGCGGTGTATTAATGTATTTTTTTAATTTCAGAGGGTGATGTGTAATGTATGTTTGGTGTGCTCCATATTCCTGTTCTAATACTGGTTTGGTTACAGCGATGTGTCAACAATAATCTAAGAATATTTAATATAAAAACAAATGAATATTTAACATGAAAACAAAGGAATAGCTCCACGCCGGCGTCCAAGACAAGGCCTACTGACCACGCGGAAGGGGGCGGCGACGTAGGCTAGCCGGCCGTGGCATTCCGGAGGTCGTGTCTAGGCTAGAGAGGCCTTGGGTGTGGCCCGCGCAGAGGCGGTGTGGCTGTCCGGTCGCGGCCTGTATATAAGCACCCGGCTGTCTCTAGTTCTGCACAGCTCGCTTCGGCCGATCGACTTGACTTCTTCTCGTCCGCAACTCCACATCCACACTCCACCATGAAGGTTCTGGTAAGCATGCGCCGGCTGCGAAAGACGACCCTGCGTCGGCACAATCGGTTGGGTTAATTGAGTCCTAGATGTTATCGGGCATTTTAACGGATGTGATCATTATTCCCGTACGTGTAGTGAATGTTTTGATGTCTGGAGGTGTCTAGGGCATTTCTTCCCCACTGTATTGTAAGATCAGGTGCTCTACACGACGGCGATTCGTATTGAATGAAGAAACAAAGATTAAATTCCCAGTCAGAAACGCTGCAGAATCAGCGTTTCTGAGCCAACTTAAAGCCAGCCGTTGAAAACGGAGAGTCTGAGTCATATATACACGCAATCTAAAATTTGTGATTTTTTTACACCTTTTCTAGTAAATGTTTCATTATAAACGGCTACTTGTTGAATTATTCCGATGGCAGGAGACGGGAGGAACTACATGCATTGCTGTAATAAGGGAACTCGAGTAGGGTGCTGCAATAGTAATACACAAGTCAAGCGAGTGGATTTTTCCGTGAATACAAGGGAGAGTTTCCGGACGAGGCCAATAGATCGAGTCTAAGAATCCCGCCGTTTAGTGAAAATTCACTTTTGCCGTGTGATATACAATATTTATTGGAAACCTCAATTTTATGACAATTTCTCCACCGATATACAAATTTGAATGACGATCAAGTCAACCTACTGCGTATTATTCCGGTCGGGGGTTACTACATATTTTGTTTTCTAATTGTACTTTCAGTACTAGTAAGAAACGTAGCCTCTTTCTGGAGGAGAATTCTTGCGCCTGACTGCTCTCATTGGTAGATTTCCGTGGTTTCTCCGATCAAATCCAGGTGAATGCCGGAGAAGTACCTTAAGAAATAGGTCAAGGACCACGCGCTATTTGTCATTTCTCTTTGTTATCGTCTTATCTCCTCTCACATACACACACACGCCCTACAATGCCACACATTACGGGAGCTTAGAGCTCCTCCTGGACTGGAGCGTTGCCCCGCTGAGGGAGATACCCAGAGAGGGAAATACCCTGAAAGCCGACTTGAACGTCGGCGCCGCATGTCACCATCCATCGGGGAGGAAGGTCACCAATTCCCGCGAAAAAACATTCACTACATTAAATGGATGAGAGAGGGATGGATCGCGAGGGAGAGAAGGAGAGAGAGAGGAAGAAAGAGAGGGGGAGAGAGGGGGAGAGAGGGGGAGAGAGGGAGAGAGAGGGAGCGAGAGGGAGAGAGGTAGATGGAGGGAGAGGGAGGGAGAGAGGGAGAGGGAGGAAGAGGTAGGGAGTAAAAGGTGGAGAGAGAGGAGCAGAGAGGGGGGATAAATAGAGGAAGAGAGAGGGGGAGAGGGGGAGAGAGGAGAGAGAAGGAGAGAGGAGAGATGGAGAGAACAGAGAAGGGCAGAGGGGGGAGGGAGAGAGGAGAGAGGGAGAGAGGAAGAGTAAGAGAGGGAGAGGGGAAGAAAGAGAGGGAGACGCTGTGAAGGAAGGGGAGGGGGAGAGTGAGGAAGAGAAAGAGGTTGAGAGAGGAGTGAGAGAGAGGAAAAGAAGGGGAGAAAGAGAGTGACAGAGAGGGAGTGAGGGGCAGAAAGAAGGAGAGGGGGAGAGAGGGGAGATGGGAATCGGGAAGAGAGAGAGGGGGGTGATAGAGAGACTGACAGTGTTCAAGTGTGTGATGAATGATCCTAGCAGTTGACTCCCCACAAGAGCCAATGAACTGCAATGCAATGCAATGCAATGCTGGCGTGCGCAGGCTCTTGTCCTGCTGCTGGCGGCGGCCGCGCTGGCCCAGCAGGAGCAGGCGCGCGACAAGCGCGGGCTGCTGGCGGCGGGCGTGGTGGCGCCGGGCCTGGTCGCCCCGGGCCTCGTCGCCCCGGGCCTCGTCGCCCCCGGCGGAGTCATTGCCGCCCCCGGCCTCGTCGCCCCCGGAGTCATCGCCGGCCCCCACGTAAGCAGCAGCAGCCGGAGGCGGCGCTAACCGATGCACGTTCATTCCATCGGGTTTGTTTATATCACACTGGTGGCTTTCAAAGGGTCATTGTAAGCGCTAAGGAACACACCTGCCGATCGAACAGTTTTGTCCTAAGGCTCAACAGCCCCCTACGGGCCTTGGTTGGCCAGAGGTGACCCAGCCTGTCGATCATGGGATAAGGGGTTCGTGTGGTTAGCACGAAGACATCCCTTCGCCGTATATTCTGGTCTTCATAAACTTAGGGTGGGAAATAGATGTTGCGACATTTGTAAGTGAAGCGCACAGTGATTACTTTCCCCGGTTGGGCTTTCTAGGGCGAGCGCGCTCATTAAGGACCCTCCGAGGGCCTGCTAAAGAAGAGCAGGTTGTAAGTAAAAATAAGCGTTTGTGCCCAGAAATGTATTGGGTTTTTAAAACCTTTATACATTATAATGGATTGTAATGAATTTAGAGTGATTGATTGATTTTTCCTAAGGTTAACGATTAATCCACTTTTCCATCGTCATTTTAACATGGTTATAACTGTTGAGATTAACAGGTTTACAAGTATAACTGGCTTTTATAAAAAAATACGTATTTGTACTCATGCCTGTAATAATGTTCGTTTTCCAGACGTTTGTGTAAAATAGTGGAATATACATATAGAGAGGGAAATACTCTATATTTCCTGGAAATTGAGAATTATTATGATTTTTTCACTGTCGCTTTAATGTGGCAATTACAACTGCTCAGTAAAATCGTTTACGCTTATGACTACGTTTTTTGAAAAAAAAAAAAAGCGTTTATTCACTGAAAAAATGTTATTTTTCTAGCGTTTGAAGACAATGGTAGATATTATTTTTGTAGGGAGGAGTGCATGATTTTCCTAAGATGTGCTTTTGAAACCCGAGGGCTGTAACTACACCAAGAGAAAACTGCATTTTCTATTGTGTGTATCTATTAAGTGTTCCACGACCACTATTTTTATGAGAATCGAATTGAAACTATCATTCTTGAAAAATAGACACTACAATACTAGTTTTCCAATACGTTATTTACTTTTGACGTTTCATCCTTAATTGGTCTCTTTAAAAAAAAGAAAAAGAAATTCAATAAAAATTTGACAGGTTAATCAGGTATTGTAAACAAGTTCTCATTTGTAGGTTATCAGTTTTATACAATAATACTGATCTTCAATATTAAGAACTTTTATATAAAATTTTACTTTTTAATTTTAAACTTTTAACAAAGTCTTTTTTACGAACCTGGACCCAAGATATAAGGCCCCATATACGGTCGAAACATTAATTTTAATATTAAATAACTTATTTGCAAAACTGGTAAACTGGCGTCTTGTAAAGAAAAAGTTTAGAATACTTTTAGGTACATGACAAGATACCAGACGTTACCACATTCGTTAAGGTTCACACAATACTAAAAAATAATATTATAAATTGGTTCTTGGTAAAAAGTATTTCTTTTGTTACAAAAATATCGTAATATCTCAATACGTATCTGCACGTTTGATAATAAACATGGTATGCTGGCGTGTAGGGGTGCATAAGGCCCTAGTTTATGAGGAAGTAAAAAGTAATGTACAAAGAAAAATCACTTAAGTTTTGTCTAAAAACTGTCAATTATCACGACTAATTCTTTTCTTACTAAGCCAGCCTATGGAAAGTTTTCAAAATCTGACTACACCTGATGACATTGTGTGGTCAGATTTTCCGATTGTAAATATATCTACTAATTGTGGTGGTACTTTCTTTCCGACAGGGTGGTGCACTCGTCTGGGGCTGAAGTCCTTGGTTCGACTCCCACTACCGCCGTCGCCGCCAACACCACCTCTGCTGACCTTTCCACCAGCTCTCTGCTTCTCCAAAAGTGTCCTTTACAATATTCAATTCTGTCTTTTCTTTCGCAATAAATAATAGATTTTGATAATTTCTGTTTTTTAATATCCTCTCCTTTAATTATTTCTGCAGAATGCAATTGCATTTTTTGCAATTGAGTTTTCGCTGTTTCTTTAGTGTGTACCACCTTGTACGCTCGAAGTTCCTCCGAAAGCAAGTCTCAATAATAAAATGGACGCAGGCAGTTGTTTCTAGCTAGTAATTCGGCTTGTGAAAGCAGGAAGAACTATTTTACACAGATTTTAATGGTTCGATAATATAGAACAAACAATTTTAGACCCATAGATGTGAATAATTCACTATATTTCATTAATTACATTATGTGAGTTCATTCAAAGAAAAAATATAATCGAGTTGTCTGTCTTAAAGAAAACTAGCTAATATACTTCTCGCATTAATAACGGTTACGTGATCATACTGCAATTCCTGTCCCAACTAACACATCGCAGCAATCGCTTGAAAACCTCCTTACGAAACTTAGGATATGTGGTGAGAACCTATAATTACATCGGCAGCTATTCACGGTTGTCATTTCTTACCAATCTACACAGCAGATCAAGATGATAAAATTACAATTACAAGAGTAGTTATGAATACTTTCCAAACGCTTGCTTCGTTTACTTCAAAGAGATTTGCTAACTGTAGAAGTATTACAAATATGCAGAAGGATATGTGAAATTGGGAATTAAAAAAATCAATCTACAAATGTTTAATCTTCTATTATATATATATATATATATATATATATATATATATATATATATATATATATATATATATATATATCGGTACCAAACATTTTTTAAACTAATCCAACAATACAAATCCAACAATCCAAACAAATGTTTCATACACCGAAACACATTGTAGCTCAACAAGAAGATTCTAGAATAATTTTTTAAACCATCTTGTCTCGGGACCCAATTCAACCGTTGTCTCAAATACAAAATAATTACAAAAATTACAAAAAGGCATATTTTCAGAATATCTACATCACATATGTTCCAATGTTATCCGTAATTGATACGTAATATTCGTATTATAATAATGCAAATTGTGCACAACAAACTCATCAGATATCACGTGAAACAATACTTAGGAAAAAAAGTAGGAGATCATCTCTCTTGCAATTTTTGAAGATATCCAATTTTCGAAAGTTCATAGACTTTAAAAGCGCAATTAAATATGTCATCAAAATGTCGAATACGTACTCAATCCCTACCCAATTCAATGTTATATACTTTTTGTGCTGATGTTCGACCTAGAAATGGAAGCAAAGCTCGTGCTTCTTTCCAGAAAATAAATGAACGTTAAATTCCTCTCACATCCAAAATTGCGGTACAATTCTTCATATTTAAAAAAAATATTATCAAAATAAAAACACAAAGAGACAAGTATAAAAAATAGATAAAATGTACTCAACTCTTTACTTCACATCACTTATGTACTGCATGTCCTTTCGATACTCACTAACTCTCACATTAACGATAAGTATATGCACCGCGACTGTCAAGGAGGTTGGTGAGTAGTCACGTGACAACCCGTTCGCGAACGGCGGGCATTCTTCGCTTGTTAACGCCGCCGCTCCGTCGTGACCTCCTTGCGAACGGCGGTATTACGGCGAGGTTACGGCTTTCCAAACGAAGCACCGCGCGGCTGCCGCCCTCGCTCGCCCTTGTACCACGCCCACTCCGGTGCCTATGGGCGTGCGCGCTGGCGAAATCATCCCAGCGCTAGCAGGCTTGCCAACGGCCCCATTTCGCTGGGAGCGTCTCTTTTTTAATGTAAACTCTGAGAAACCCGTTACAAATGGCGGATTGAAAACCGGACGTCCGTGGATTGGGGCAGCAACTGATGTCACTGCAGTCCCTCTGAACGGAAAGTTCTAGGGTTCCGACAGTGGCAGAAATTTTTTACACTCATGAGCCCCCATGCTTACCCCCATGAGTGAATAATAAAAACAGAGCTCAGGCTTGGGAACACCAAGTAACAGTGGGATTAATCTTACCCTAAAATGCCTAATACATTCTTCCATTTTTACTTTCTTTTGTAAAGAATTATTTGGATAGTTAGTTGGGTAATTTTCTGTAGAAATTATCTTTGAAGATAAGAAACGCCAACAGTTGATTAGAAGAAATTTATCAAAATACCGCGGGGTCGCGCTGACCCCGATCTACCAGATACTTCTGAATGATTGATTGGTGATTCCGGCCTCGTCAACTGCTAAGGTAATTTCCCGTAGTGTAGTGTATGTTTTATCGCAGGGGTGGCGGTGACCTTGTCCAACTAGATGTCAAAATCTGGCACCGAACTACGTCAGATTACGGGAATTTTCCTCATCAGGTATCTCCTACCAGCGTGGCACCTCCTCAGCCGGGACAAACTCGAAGCCCTCGACTAGTGTGCTAGTGTAATTCATATGAGTGTGAGTGTGCATATGTAAGTGGCGAGGAAAGGTCACGGAAGAGAGATAGTGCGCGGTCCTTTTGTTACGGTACTGCTCCGGCATTCGCCTGATGTTGATCGGGGAAACCACAGAAATAGAGCAGTCCATCACCAGAATGCTCCTCCAGACAGCGACTAAATTCTGTTTGAAGATAAGTAATACTAATAGCTTTTTTGTTTATTTTTAAGGTCGCATCAACTATTAGGTCATTAGCGACCACTATTGCGTGTAACGCTATGGTAACTGTGGAGATGACATAATATGGTGATGATAGGGGGTGAAAGGACGAACACAATACAACTATGCTCGAGGCTGGACTCACGGGGCTTCGATCCGAGATCGCTACGGCACTACTGCCTTAACGATCTCGGCCATCCTAGAACAGTTATGCAGAGGATATTGATTCAAAATATCGCAGCGTCTCGCAGACCCGATTATTTCATAAGCGTATGAAAAAGTAATAGTTGTAAAACGTAATAAACGTACCAGTTGAGGGTTAACAAACAGATGAGGTACTACGCTGGAGGCGGCTGCGTAAAAAACTCTGGCGGCGCACGGCCGCCACCAGCCGGATGCGACGCCCGTGCGAGGGCGCGTGGGTCGGTGATGGCGTCGCGGCGCCGCGTGTCGCCCCGCGGCCGCCAAAGCAACGACGTCGTGCCAGCGGCGTCGCCATTCTCGAGGGGGAAAAGGGGACCGTGGGCCCCCCTGCGAGGTATAAAGCGCCCCCGGGGAGCCGACGCTCAGCACACACCGCAGCAGCCGAGCCAGAGCAGCATCTTCCAACTCGCACCCGCAGACCCGGACTCAGTCGCCATGTTCAAGTTCTTCGTAAGTTCAGCGAAATTCCCGTTTTTCTTGTTTTTTGACGGATTTTCTGATTAATTTTAATTAAAATTTTGGGATGGGTTTTGCACTTGCGATCAGGTTTGCTTGGTCTGCCTCAACTTCGATTGAATCTTGCAATTTTCGGACTCAGCCGCCATGTTCAAGTTCTTCGTAAGTTGAGCGAAATTCTCGTTTTTCTTGTTTTTTGACGGATTTTCTGATTAATTTTAATTAAAATATTGGGATGGGTTTTGCACTTGCGATCTGGTTTGCTTGGTCTGCCTCAAGTTAGATTGAATCTTGCAAATTCCGGACTCAGTCGCCATGTTCAAGTTCTTCGTAAGTTCAGCGAAAGTCCCGTTTTTCTTGTTTTTTGTCGGCTTTTCTGATTAATTTTAATTAAAATTTTGGGGTGGGTTTTGCACTTGCGATCAGGTTTGCTTGGTCTGCCTCAACTTCGATTGAATCTTGCAATTTCCGGACTCAGTCGCCATGTTCAAGTTCTTCGTAAGTTCAGCGAAATTCCCGTTTTTCTTGTTTTTTTGACGGCTTTTCTGATTATATTTAATTAAAATTTTGGGATGGGTTTTGCACTTGCGATCGGGTTTTGTATAGTAGAAGCTGGGTCCACCTCAAGTTAGACTGAACTTTGCAATTTCCATACTCAGTCGCCATGTTCAAGTTTTTCGTAAGTGCAGTGAAATTTCCGTTTTCTTGGTTTTTGACGACCTTTTTGGTTAAAATTGAATTGTATTTTACTTCAAATTTTGGGATGGGTTCACTTGAGATCGGTTGGGTGATCAGTCGGAATGAGTTTTGCACATTGTCCGTGGCCCGTTTGTTAGAGTACTGCTCCGACATTTGCCAGGTGTTGATCGGAGAAACCACGTAAAACTGCAGATCAGAGCAGCCGGCTGCTAAAATTCTCCTCCAAACAGCGACCTAGCAACGTAGCTGGTTTCTAAAATCCTGCCTCCGTCTGGACCCAAACCCCAGGACCTCTCGATCAGAGGACGTGCAGTGACATCAATCGCCGCCCGGAGCCACCTCTCCTCAGGCACAGCGCGGAGATAGAGCCTCGCCAGCCGGCCGTTCGCGTTGTGTTGCAGGTGACGGTGGCGCTGCTGGTGGTGGCGGCGTGCGTGGCGCTGGCGCTGCCGCAGGTGGGCGACGCCGCCGCCGCCGCGGCCGACGCGCCCCGCGACAAGCGCTCCGGCCTGCTGCTCGCCGCGCCGCTCCCGGCCGTCGTCCCGCGCGTGAGTAGCCTCCCGCTCTACTTTGCCTCTCTACTCCACAGCATTACAATACCTTCGACAATACCAGGCTTAGGCTTATTTTCAACTGTAACTTTGCACTGTAACAACTGTGTTTAGGCTTATTTTCAACTGTTACTTTGCACGCATTAAGATTAACGTGCCTACTTTGCCTCAAATCCGCAGCATTGCAACGATACCATCTCGGATTTTACATCCTAAAATCCGTGTTTAGGCTTATTTTGGACTGTAACTTTGCACGCATTAAGATTAACGTGCCTACTTTGCCTCTCTACTCCACAGCATTGCAACCACCTCGACAATACCATCTCGGATTTTATATCGTAAAATCCTTGTTTAGGCTTATTTTGGACTGTAACTTTGCACGCATTACGATTAACGTGCATTCCTTAAAGTACTTCTCCAAAAAGACAGTTTAAAGAAATCAAGAGATGTTTACAGATTTGTACCCCCAAAATGAGATGTCTCTATCTGTTTGTATGTATGTACGTATTAACTGATGGGTAAAAGCACGTGTCTCGTTCCAGTGATCATGAAGATACTTACTTTTTTGTAGTATATATTAGCAA